TTGGCAGAAGCTGGGACAAGTAATGGGAGCTCACTCCGTTACGTGATGCTAGGGATTCGAACCACCAAACTGCCAACCTATCTGTTCAACAAGCACAGCGTCTTAGCCACTGAGCCACCGTATCTCTAAATCTGGATGCTGAATGTTTATTTCAAGTTTGGAAGGCACTTCCTCAGTTACTAAAGTTTCTGGAGAAAACGCTGAACTTTTGTGAATGGATCTGAAAGTGACAACACAACAAGATTAAGCAATAAGCAAGTCACGAATGATCCTGGCACTGAAAGTAGAGTTCCTTGTTTCATACACAGAATTGGAATATGGAACAGGACAAGCATAAACTAATGAAAATTTGAAACCATCAAAGCAGAATAAAGAATATTGAATAGTATATTTTAAAACCTAGAATGAGTCTTAGTCTAGGCCTTAGGGTGAGCCAATTTAAATAACTCATTTGCCTAATATACTGTTCTGAAAATGAGATACTACAAAATAATGGAGTGACAATGAGATTTAAAAAAACCCACGGCTAAGTATGTCCTCTGTTATAAGCCAGCAAAAGACAAACTCAAACCTTCACAATTGCCTTGGCCAAGGAGCTGCTGATTCTGTTCTACAGAGGAATTATTGAGTCTGTCATCTGCACCTCTATAACCGTCTGGTTTGGTTCTGCAACCCAACAAGACAGACGGAGACTTCAGAGGATAACCAGAATGGCAGAAAAAACAATTATTGCCAACCTGCCGTCCATTGAGGACCTGCACACTGCACGAGTCAAAAAGAGGGCCGTGAAAATGTCTACAGACCCCTCGCATCCTGGACACAAATTGTTTCAACTCCTACCCTCAAACCAACGCTATAGAGCACTGCACACCAAGACAAACTAGACACAAGAACAGTTTCCCCCCAAATGCCATCACTCTGCTAAACAAATAATTCCCTCACCAGTGTCCAACTATTCACTAAGGCTGCATTACTATTACTATTAGTCCTTATTGTTCCTATCACCCACCTCCTCCCACTTATGACTACAGAACTATAACTTTGTTGCTTGTATCCTTACGATTTATATTGATATTGTTTCCTGATTGCTTATTTGTACCCTATGACTATCACTAAGTGTCGTATCTTACGATTCTTGATGAATGTATCTTGTCTTTTTTATGTACACTGAGAGTATCTGCACCAAAGACAACTCCCTTGTGTGTCCAATCACACTTGGCCAATCAAGAATAATATTCTATTCTATTAGTGAATATCAAGTGAATACGTACAACTTTATGCACCTACTACAGATGAAGTGGCGGAAAATACTGAGGAATTCCATGACAAAATTGCAAAAAATGGTAGATGCAACATTAAACAAAAATGTAAACCTACAAAAGTGAACCAATATAAAATGAATAATTGAGATAATAAAAGAATATACGAGTTATTTTGCACCCTTTATTTTTTTTAAAGGACTTAATTGTGTAGAACAACAGTCCCTACTTTTTTGGTTTCACAGATCAGCAGTGGCACATGGCAGCAGTGGGAGGGAGGGAATGGTTTTGTGCGCTCATCCCAATCCCACATATACACAAATAAAGATTTATGCACTTGCGACGTGCTGCTTGGTTTCCAATGGGCCACAGCCTGATGGTGGTCTGCTGCCCAGGTGCTGGGGGCCTCTGGCATATATGTTAAATCTAATGAACATTTATGACTGTTCTAAGGCAGCTGAGGGGCTTTTACAATGAAGGAGACCCAATTTAGTTTTTGTTTTAAGACCAAATTCAGAAACAGGGAGGTGAAAATAAAGGAAAGCTTGAGAAAGATGCATATTGTACTCAGTTATACAGCAAATATATTAGCAGAATAATAATGAGAGATGACAGTTGGAATACTGTCATATACAGGTAACGCTTTGACTACTACCTGTCCAGTGGCCATTCAAAGCTATAGTGGCACTGAACAAGGGGGTCTTACAACCAGTCCATGAAGTTGTGACCACTGCAGCATCCCTGCAATCATATGATTGTGATTCAGGCACTTGCCAACCATAACAGTTGCAGCATCCCACAGTCCCATAGTCACCATGTCTGACCTACCATTTTCTCACAGGCAAAGTCAACAGACGCCCACACTGGAGAAAAGGCGAGGAAATAAATCCTCAGGAAGAAGGCAGTAAGAAACTTAAGACAAAATCATGTAATAATCTAAGACAAGAAAGATCTGTCTTTTAGTGCAGATGTAAAAGATGGACACAGAAAAAGCTTGTCACTTTTGAATGATGGATTTGGTGAATGATTTTAAGAAGAATCAAGTAAGACTGTGGAGATAAAGAACAAGCGGGGGTTCACCTGACTTTGAACATATGATACAAAAGGGTACAGATTGGGAAAACTGCGGTGCTTGATGGATGTAGAAGACAACAACATGGATGCATAGGCAATGTCAAAGAGATTATAGGATCAGTTTTGGGATTATTACTAGAGGCACTTCATGATTATGAATATTGTTAAGGATTGAATTCCAGGCTTAATGTTACAGTAACCGGGGAACAGCTTTGGAGTCAATAAAGGACCATCTACTTTTGAGTAATAAAGCATAAGTATAGCAACAATGTCAACATTTAGTAGTTTAGACAAGATACTTACAGAAGCAAAGGAAAAGTGTGTCCACACACATGGCATATACACTGAAAAATCCATGTGCAATGAGGTAGGAACCCACAATCACTGTCTACAAAAGAGAGAGAGAGAGTGAGAGAGAGAGTCACCTCAGTGTGATATCGTATCTATGACAATAACAATCATGTCTAAATTGATGATAATCATATGTGTATATATATTTCTCCATTCCTGGTGACCCATGTGATACTGTTGCTGTGTCTGGGGGCTATTGGGGCCTGGTTGGGGTACAACAGGCTTTGTCTGAACCCTGGAAAGCAATAGCAACAGCACTTAGACTTCTATACTGCTTCACAGTGCTTTACAGCCCCCTCTAAGCAGTTTACAGAGTCAGCCTGTTGCCCTCAACAATTTGGGTCCCCATTTTACCAATCTCAGAAAGATGGAAGACTCAGTCAATCTTAAGCCAGTGAGAATTGAGAAAACAGCTGCCAAGCGGTACAGCTGCAACTGGAGAAAAAAAAAATCTCATATTTTTAAAAATACTAACCAGAATGGGGACCCAGTAGTAATTAAGAGTTGGTGCGGTGTCTTGAATCAGTTTTATTCTCTGGGTGAAAAAAAAGAAAGCAAGGATACCTAAAATGAAATGAAAATAATTAAAATTCACATTTTTCTCTATATCTTAGTTCTAATTTGGAAATCCCATCATTTTTATAAATGACTTTGACTTTGACACATATACATTTTAACAAATTTCTTTCCATCTCCCAAATAGGGTTTAGATTTTATACTTGTTTCTGCCTATTGTGAAAATGAGCTGTAATAATAGGCAGGAAAGGTGGAAAAGATCTTCCCTAGCTTTATGCCCTGTACATACTGGATTACAACTCTTGGTATCTTAAAATTTGAGGCAAGCTGATGACTAGTGACCTTTCAAGTGGAAATCATACTTCGGAAAAGAAACAGCTTTACTTCCAGAGTCCCATTCTTGTTGTACAAAAAAAAAAGGCTTTGATCCCTGCTTTAAATACATTCTTTATTGCAAATATAATTTCATTCAAATGTAAATTCCCTAAACCTAAGTAAAATCTGCATGGAAACACCAAAAAGAAGACCAATAAGTGGCCAAACCTGAGAGAAAACCCAAAATATCACAAATGTCTTACCAACACTTCCCACAATTAGGATTTTTCCAAGGAAAAACAGGAAATCAGTGACTTTGTCCAAAACAGCCACTCTGAAGACAAAGAGAAAAGCTACAGTTACAGATAGTCCTTGACCACAATTTCCATTGCTAAGCAGTGTTGAGTTTTGCCCTATTCTGCAACCTTTTTTGCCACAGTTGTTAAGTGAATCACTGTGGTTGTTAAGTTAGTAACATGGTTGTAAAGTAAATTTGGCTTCCCCACTGACTCTGTCAGAAGGTCACAAAAAGTGCCCCCAGACACTGCAGCCATCAGAGTCCCCAAGCATCTGGATTTGGATCATGTGGCTCTGAGAATACTGCAATGTTGCTATATGTGAAACATGGTCATAAGTCACTTTTGTCAATGCCATTTGCCCTGGGGAGGTTTTTTGGAACTAAGTAGAGCTGGACCTGGTTAGCAGATGATGGGAGACTACCTGAAAATCCCAGGGTGTAAACTAGTGGGCAATGGGAAAAAAATATCCCGGAAGAAGGTAGTGGCAATCTTTTTCATACTATCAGAAATAGAAAAGGACCATGAAGTCAAGCTCAGTTAAAAGAGGATCTGACCTTCTCTTTTAGATCAGAGTCCCTTAAGCTTTCTGAGTTGGAGGCCAGGAGAGAGGGGGGGAGAGAGGAGATGGTTTTGCAGATGTGTGTGGAGTACCTGTTGCTCACATGAGTGGGGCCGTGAGTGCCTGCAACATTCAAGTGAGTGGGGCCATGAGCAACAGAGACGCTTGTGTGAGGGGGCACGAGTGCTTGTGATGCTCACACGAGTGGGGCTGTGAGCACCAGAGATGCTCGCGCAAGTGAGGCCACGAGCACCTGTGCTGATAGCCTGAGTGAAGAGCGCCCACGGGGCTCGGTTGAGACTCGGTCGCAGAGGGATAGAGGGCCCCGGCCCTCAGGTTTTAGATCATAGGTAAACAAAACAAATATTTTAATGTGGTCAAATATCTCATTCAAACTGAGCACACTTTGTAATTTTTTCATAATAAATTTCTGTTTGCATGAATGAACGTTTACCGCATTTTCATTCTGCTTTCCATTTTAAAAATATGAAGTTTAGTTTTATAAGAATTGTTGTAAAATATACAATGTAACCAATAAAATATATAAATAGTTTCAAAATTAGAGGTGATACCATTTATTTATATATTAAATTTATATGCCCCCATCTCATTTTGCCAAGTGACAATCAAGAGAACTTGTATTCGTATTTCTGTACTCTTTCCCATTAGAGAGTCCAGTTTGTTCCACACAGAATTCCCACTGCCACAGCACATTTAACTGATAATCATCATGCCAGTTTATCATGGAGTTTTCAGCTATTAACTCTAACAACAAAGAACTTGACCGAGCTCTTCCAAACAGAATAATAAAACCAAAAGCAGCTTCCAGGCTCACCTGAGTATGTTCCTCATGAGCAAGGAAAAGGCATTCCTAGCAGAAGTGCAGAAATTGGTGCCATAAATAGCAATCTGTGCAAATTGCCAAATGAAAAAAAAAATCTATTGAAGAGCATTTTTTTTTTTACAAAGACATGATTACTTAGAGCTAGAAAAAGGCAAATATAGATTTTAGGACAGTATTAAAGCTATGATAAACATAACAAACAAACGAACACCATTTTTACATGACTTTTGGGGATGTGAAGGGAAGGGAATAAGAAGGAAAATACACTGTACTTGCTTGGATCCCTCTTATCTTGGTTGTTATGTTTTCCCATTATGCCCCCCCCCAGCTCAGCTAGCTTAAAAAAAATATCTTTATTTAACAATCCTGGCATCAAGGGGCTTGAAACAGGCCCCCAGTTTATTCCTTCAGATGCCTCTCCCCTTATCCAGTTCATGAAATTCACAAGAACTTCATGATTCACAACCAACTTCACAATAGCAATCATCACAGAATAAATGTGAATGGGTAATTAGCATTTTCATCTGAAAACCAGTACTAAGAATCATCATCATCATCATAACTGCTGCTGCATTGGCATGGCATAATCAGGACAAGTAAATGCACTACACAAATGATCGGGATGAGTGCATTCGGCAGCCAAGTCTCCTTTAAATGTTTTAACAAGTCATGAAGAATCTAAAGCAGTGTTTCTCAACCGTGGCGACTTTAAGTCCTGTGGACTTCAACTCCCAGAATCCCCCAGCCAGCGCAGCTGCGCTGGCTGGGGGATTCTGGGAGTTGAAGTCCACAGGA